CTGTCTGCTGTCTGTGTTGCATGCACTGAGATATCTGTGTTGCAAGCTGTCTGCTGTCTGTGTTGCATGCACTGAGATATCTGTGTTGCAAACTGTCTGTCTATATTGCACACACTGAAATATCATGCCTCAAACAACAATCGAACAACTAGAAATTGTGCCCAGTGTTATCAACCACTGCTGATGCACAGTGGTAACAAAGTGAAAAGCATTATTATTATTTATAGAAACAAAGGGTAAATAATAGGACTAGATTCCATACGTGAGGTGGTCACACCTACTACATAAAGCTCACTTTGTAGGAGAGGGACCTGCCTACATTTCAAAGGGGAACCGCAGCTTAACCTCCCCATAAGTCACCCATAACCTCACTCATGGCACTCAGCAGGCGTGCCAACCAAGTCCTGTGTCCACATCATCACTGCCCCCCTCGGAATGCAGCCACACTCCCTGTGTGTCCACTCACGCTGCTGGGAGACACAAACAACGGGGCTCCTGCTAACACTCCGTTATGTCCTGGTGCTGGGCTGTGCTGCTGGCTCATTGCTGCTGGAGAGAGACCCCTGCCCAAGAGCTCGCAAGCATTTGTGAACAGCCCCTACGGGAGAATCCCCAGATTCATTTGCTCTCTCCTGCCTGGGGTTGCCTAGCTTTTCTCCCTGCACAAACTAGCCCACCGTCGCCATCGCTCTCCATCAACCAGCAAGCCTGTCATCTCTCTCCATCTACCATGTGACAACTCTGAACTGACATTATTCTCTTTTTTATGGGTAATTAAAATATATCTTTACATTTTTTCATTTGTTATGACACACATAGGTTACAAGCTAACAAACCATTTTATTAGGACCTAGTCCAGACATCTTTGTATTCCATAGTCCAAGCGTGTTAAGCCGTGTTGAACAATCGCCACCACAATCAGTTATGGAAGATTTTCTTCCTCCTTGTACTCCCCGATATCAACTCCCCTAGCCCGCTCCTCCACACCCCCTGCCAGACCCCCCAGGCGCCCTTATTCTAATTACTGTCACGATAGATCCACCCATCCTGGGTTTCAGATCCCAAAATACATAGAAAAATATATAACAGAGGGTCAAGAAGGCTACCAACAATGACAGAATACAATAAATATAAACCTCAATAGGAAGAAAAGACACAGAAAATAAAAATATTATAAGTCAGATCAAGCAGAAAATTTATCAGAAAGGAGAGCAAGTGACAAGGTTTGAACCATTCCAGTCAGATGTATTGTTTTCGTCTACTATAGTCCTCTCTCCAATACTTTTGTCTGATAACCAGCTTATTCCTATCCCTCAATTATGGTGAGAGGGAAATCCTGTATTCCACATGCCGATTCTACAAATGTAGGCTTAGTTGACATCTCACTTATATGGCTGCTTCTTTGAAAACAAGATGCTGCTCTATCTGATGGCTGGGCACCATCACATTTTGCTGTAACACCATATCTTATGCGTTTCCTCCATGAGGGCGAGTAGACCATGGCAGGACCGTGGCATCATAGTTGTTTACCTGGAGCTAGAAGGTTTTCAGCACAGAGACCCTGAGTCCAGAAGATGTGCTTCATCCAGCCTTTTCATGATCATAAAGTTCCCCCCAAATCGTTGTGAGCTTGATTGCTAACATAGGCAGTCTCCCAGTCTGGCTCTCTCAGTATGAAAAATTAATCAACTTCCTTAGTAGATGGCAAGCCACTCAGTCCTCCTGGATGGGTTACCAGGTGCTTCTGTGGCTAGTAAACCAACTTATCCTTGCAATCCATTTATGTAAATAGTAAGTAAACCAGTCCCTTGCAGCTTGATAGCGGTTTTTGAGAGAATTATAAACTCCGTGCTAGTAAGGCCATATGAAAGAAATCCAGAGCACCGTGGTCCTCAACCTTCCTAATGCCACGACTCTTTAATACAGTTCCTCGTGTTGTGATGGCCCCACAACCATACATTATTTTTGTTGCTACTTCATCACTAATTTTGCTACTGTTATGAATTGGTTGACCCCTGTGAAAGGGTCGTTCGACCCCCAAAGGGGTCGCAACCCACAGGTTGAGAACCGCTGCCATCTACCACAGTCACCAATGTCCCAATATGTAGGATTAAAGCCTTATATAAATATGTGGGAGGGTGTGCTGGAGCTGTCTCCAAGTCTTCTAGTACCTTCAGCCAATACCTTGTCCACCATCCTCCAAGAAACGTGGGAAAAGGAAAGGTTCACACCACATCTGTGACTATGATGGAAATATCTAAACTAAGCACACTGAGAGAGTATTTCTAAAATGGGGGTGGAGATGGGGAAGAGGCCAATCTCGACCCTAAAACCTTCTGGGACTCTCAGCCCACTCAGTTTTTGCAATCACAATCCAACTGAATTATGTGCCATCCATTAGCCTGGGAACTACGGGGAGGGGGTAAAAAAAGCTACATGTGTCTCAATCAGACTCCTTTTGTCTTCAGACAATTGTTTCTCTCTGCATCCTTTAAGAAATCCTAAGCCTTCCAGAGAAGGTCTAATTTTTCAAGAAATTTTCCTATTCATTCTTTTAAAACAAACTGAAAAAAAACTACCTTAGATCTCATTAAAAATAATAAATGGAATAAGTGCTTGTACTGGTTTTCTTATGGAAATGCTAAAGCATCAAATTGCCCAAGAGTAAGCCCTAAGAGTGTTCTTGAAAAAGGATAAAATAGGAAGTGACTGTATATTTAGCTGTGACCCAAGTTCTGATCCTCTCATGGGCAGGAAATACTAAAATAGTCAATGAAGATAAACTTCAGAAACAAAGGGGATTTCCTGAGCACTGATCATGCCCACACTTTTGGTGAAAGCAACGTATATTTTTATCAAGATCTCCAGTCATTTTGGTAACAAACAACATTTTAAGACCCAGAGCCAAGATTTTTTTAAATCATTTTATTGTGGGGTTCTTACAGATGTTAAAACAATCCATATTCAATTGTATTAAGCACACTTGTACTTATATTACCATCATCATTTCCAAAACATTTTCTTTCTTCTTTAGCCCTTGTATCAGCTCCTCTTTTTCCCCCTCCCCGCCCTCTTGAATCTTTGATCACTTACATATTATTATTTCATATTTTACACTGTCCATTGTCGATAGATGTTTCAGGCAATTTCTTCTGCCTTTTAAAAATGAGAGTCTATAAAAATGAGCACCTTTAAAAAATGAGAGGAACCCTGTTGTTGTAGTGATTACAAATTGGGCTACTAACTGCAACGTCAGCAGTTCAAAACCACCGGTCACTCTGAGGGAGAAATAGGAGGCTTTCTTATCCCAGAAGGGGTAGTAATGTAGGAAATCCACAGGGGCAATTCCACCTAGTGCTGGAGGCCGCTATGAGTCAGACTCAACTTGACAGCAGTGAGTTTGGAGTTTTGACATGTTGTTAGGTATGTTGTTTTTTAGCGGTTTACTTCTTTTTTGTTTACATTAGTTGTGGGGACTTAAACCCAAACTTTCCAAGTTCTGGCATGATTTATTTAATGGTGAAATTTTGCTCCTGGTTTGTAAAACATTCATTCACCTCATTGACCAGCCCTGATATTCCTAACCATATAAGTTGCTGAGAGGCAGAGTTCTGGATTGAAATGCTTTCTGTTTGTCATTTATTTAGACTGCAGGGGAAAAAATAGACTCCGAGGAGGCATTGATACATGAAGAGGATTTAGATGGAGGTGATGGTGTTGACGGCGAATTGGAGGAAAGCACGAAATTGAAATTGTTCCGCAGGCTTGCCTCTGTAGCTTCCAAACTGAAGGCATTTATTGGCCACATGATAACCACTGCTGGGAAGGTCGTGGTGACAATTCTACTTGGTTCATCAGGTGAGTGTCCCTTCTAAGAGACTGAGCAGGGTGAAAGACACAAGCAAGCACGTTGGCAAAGAACAGGATGGTGGAAGAGAAAATGAAAAACCAAACCATTCTATTTCGTGGCACGAAATCATGACTGAGCTTTCGTGAAATGGCCTCATTTACAAGCCACCAAATCATACAAGGATGTTTTGATGATTTTGTCAACCTCTGGGAAGCGATCTTTTTCCATATCTTGGTGACCACACTTGCTATTTATTTTGACTCCAGAAGAGCGACTACTCTTCTTCCGTAAGCCCCTGTCTGATCCTCTCTGTCACTGAGGGAATGAGTCATGACCTCCACATGTGCTTTCTAAAGGTACATGTTTATATGAAGTCCATCTTAAGTGAACTCTCCATGATATAATGGTGTGTTTTTTTACCCTAAACTAGATTATAATCTTCCAGTGCAGACAGTCGCTTCCTCTAAATTTTGGCAGCAATTCCATGGCTGTGCGGTCTTGCTCCTCTAGCTCCGGCTTTCATTGCAGTTTTCACAGGGCTCCTGAACTAGCTGCTAAATCCATTGGAAGAGATTCACCCAGACTGCTTATCTGAAAGCTCCCAAGATGAAGTGATTGACTGTTTTTAATAGGAAAGAAAAAGAGGAAAAGAAGTTGAAATTCTCAACAAAAAAAGTACAGTTTTCTAATGAGGCACCACTTTAAACTGTCCAATGAGGAGACTTCATGTATACCTTTCTCACAATAAAAACAGCACACATTCTGCTATGTAAATTACAGCAACCCAACCCCACTTCCCTGATTGGCTGCCCGCTCACGGTGATCTCATAGGGCAGAGTAGAACGTCTGGGGGTGTCCAGGACTTTAAATCTTTAAATGAGCAGACCGTCCTATGTATCGCCTGTAGAGGACCTTGTGACTTTGACGCTCCAACTTGGTGGATGGCAGCCCAGCACCACTCATTCTCTGGATGATATAATCACATGCGCTAAACACCTTTCAGAAAATAAACCTGATCAATACTACATCATTCATGATGTAAATGAACGCAATTAGTTACTTGTACTGAATGGTACGTTATTTTCCAGTTGTATCAAATGTTTCATGATTTCAATTCTTCTCCCTCAGGTATGATGTTACCATCTTTGACCTCATCTCTGTATTTCTTTGTATTTTTGGGTCTATGCACCTGGTGGTCCTGGTGCCGGACTTTTGACCCATTGCTCTTCAGCTGTCTGTGTGTTCTGCTGGCTATTTTCACTGCTGGGCACCTGATTGGGCTTTACTTATACCAGTTCCAATTCTTTCAAGAAGCAGTTCCACCCAGTGACTACTATGCAAGGTAAGAGAACTAGTTAGAGTATTTCACATCTCCCCCGCCCCCCACCCACGTGGTTTGGATTGTGAATTTTCAGGGTTTCTTCCTGATGGCAACTGTTGTGTTAAGAAAAGACGGAGGGTCTCCTCTACTTTAAAATTAAGGTATTGCTATATTAAATACCGCTATATTCAGAGAAGCTGGGGACCTGCCAACAGTGCACCATAAGGCCAGGTCAAACAGATCTTGCACGAAGGAACTCTAGAGGGGCACTAAGCTATAGGACAAATGAAGCATCAGAATAACAATGATCAAGTGTTTATAAAACATTTCAAATAAAAGTTTAGTTTGTATTTTATTCCAGTCTCATTAGAAGCCCACAGTAAGAAAGAGAGTATAAATGGGAGATATCTAAGAATTTACCATGATTGGAAAAGGCTATCACACCAGCTCCTTATTGTGCAAATGAGATTTAAACAAGAACAATTAATTATTGGCTGACTTTTTGGAAGCCACTCTAGGGATCTCATTTGATGAAGAGAAATGATTCTTTACAGGAAAAAAGATAATTAATAGTATCAGATCATTACAATTTTCAATCCTTAATGAAATACTGATTCTAAACACAACCTAAAGCCATTATTTTAAAATATTGTTTGCACAATGACATGTTTGCACAATAACAAAGTCCAACTTCTCTGATTATTGTAATGGAATATCATACTCTGGTGGCAAAAATGGAATAACTTGATATTTTGTGACTCTTGATATGATGCATTATGAGATGTACAGCATTGTATTGTAAACATGAGAACTGCCTTCAGTTTGTAGAAAACATAGTGGATAGAAAAATAGTTTAAATGATTCTAGAAAATCCAAGAAATCACTCTAAGGTGACCAGATTTTAACATTGGTAAAGCGGGACACCATTGATAAAACTCATATCCTGGCGAAATAGCCACATGGCAGCTGAAAACTATATACCCTAGCTTGTCGTGCATTCTTCCCAAAAATCAGGACTTTTTAAAAACGCTGTGGGACACAAGAAAAATCGTTAAAAATCGGGACTGTCCCGCCAAAAGCAGGATGTCTGGTCACCTTATGGAACCCACAAAGTGGTCGATCTGGTTTCTTCATGAATCAAAACAAGAGTGTGTATTGGGGTGGGGCTAGGGCAAAACTATTGTAATTTAATGAGTATCTAAAGAAGCATAATAAATTAATGTTAAGCATGACTATATAGGTGAAAATTTGAGTAGAGATTGGATGTTAACTGGCAGTATAGGATTGTTAATTTCTTAGGTGTGTGATTATATGGGGGTTATAGAGGACATTATCATTAATTTAATGAGATGTATAGTAAATTATAAAATAAAAGAATGTTATTTATATACATTAAAACTGAGAGACTTTGATAATGGGGCTGATTTATTTTAAGTGGGAGTAAAAAAACACACTAAATTTAGGACAGACGTAAGTTCTAAACTAAATAAGCCCTTTTGTGTTGCTCAGATGTTTAATTTTGGTTTATTGAACATAAATTGAAAAAAAACATTGTATACTATTGAAAGGGTAACTTTTAAGGGATGATTTAATTGAAACCATAAGTGTGCTTTATAACACAGTGAGTGCCCTACCCACACTTCCCACCCAAGTTTAAGGATCTTTTGCGCCCTCTAAAGGCTGAGGCTGGAAATAAAAGGAATTGCAGAACTAGCTTGGAGACATTTCTATTGATCTGGCAGATTTTACCTGCAAAGGATCCACGTTAGGATGTATAATGTTATATAGTCTCTGTTGAGGAGATTGACTCCGTTGGAGTTATCAGTTGGGCTGTGTGTTATCTCTCTGGGTTGTAATATCCATTCCACAGAACTCACAGACTAAACTCATGCTTATAGGGTTTATTAAGGAAGATAGCCAGTTGTAACACCAGTGAGAAATGCTTAGGGTTGACTTGTTTATCAGAACCCATTACGAGATTCTTTCAGGTCTGCTAATCAATGCCCAAGGAGTCATACCACTCTGCTGATAAGGCTCAACACAAAGGGATTCAGCTCAAGTTCCATAGGTCAGCAAGCCCAGCTCCTTGAATTAAGTGCTCAGAGGAACCCCACTCCAGGAAGCTTCAGCCAAGACACTCTGCTCCAATTCCCTGGGTCAGCAAACCCAACTGCCCCAATTAAATACCCATAGAAACCCCACTCTGCAAGCTAGCCTCCTACACAAAAGCACTCAGCTTTGCTTGCTACAGAGTGATGGGCAAATCCATGACTCAGTTCCATGCTCTGACTCCTGGTTCTGCTGATGTTATAACTATCTTCTGGATCCAGAAGGTTCATTGTGAAGGGATCTCAGGTCTTAGTAAACCCATTCAAGGAAAAGTCATTTGGTGAGAGTTAAGTCTTTGGCTAGCAAAGCCACATTAAATAATTCACTGTCCATGCAGGCCACCCCCTGGAGGCTCTTCAACTCATTGCCCCAGTCATACTGAGTGATTAGATTCCCTCTTCCATTTTCGAACACACCCATAAGATTTGGTAAGCCAGTCACTTCATTCTTTTACCATCCCCTATTTTAAATATCTAATTTCTAAATTGCCTACCCCTGAGAACCCATTACTAAAGAGACAAAAGTGGTTTTTGATGTCTTGGCTCTTCGTTTCTGGCTTGACCTTTGACCATTTGCATGCAGTGTAGAGCAGGCCAGTCACCAAAACTGCAGCAGAATGCACCAGCTCACAAACTCAAGCATCTTTCTCTTCCTTTGGCTGGGTTCAGGTGATGGAAACTATACTAGCAAGTCAGATGCTTTCTTGTGGGAGGGGCAGTGGCAGGAGTAATCCCTGAGGCTTTCAGAGGTAACTTCTACTATTTTACAGCTGAAGCAATTTTGAGGTTAGTCGTCAGTTCTTATTGCATATCATCCAGAGTTCCACAAAATAGGCAGCAAAGCAGGTCTATAGGAGGAAAAGCATGGGAACCGCCTTCAGGAGGATGAAAAGGCCTGAGTCCAATGCCTTAAAGCATCACGTGATGGTCCTGGTGGACTTCAGCCAGTTTCTTCATCCGTCTAGGTTGACAGTTTTCCCTCACGTCTCATATTAGAAGTCTTCCTCACCTTCCTCACCATGCCTGATCCTTCTGAAAAATACTTATCTGGGGTAGCGTTCCTTGGAACATATTGTAAAGCTTCCATGATTTGGAAGACGCCCACTTGAATTTTGTTCAAATTTTGATATTAGCCTTGACTTCAAAGGAGTTTTCCCATCCCAATGGCACAAAATGTATTCTTTTGAAGGCATCCTAATGAGACTATGACAAGTTGAGGTAGTTAGTTTATTGTGCCAACCTGGCCGATAAACACATGTGGGGTTATTTGAAGGGCAGAGGGATAAATGGCTCAGTGAGTCTCCCCTTTCTAGATTTTGGGTCTCTTGCTCTCTGATGGTCAGACCAGGGTGCAGCTACCTTAGCTAGTTCCCTGCTTTAGCTGGCAAGGCTCAATTCCTGCAAGACATCCCTGAGGAGAAGCCACATGGACCTACCCCGTTGCAGCCCTGGGTGCTGGAGTACCCGTGTGGAGACCCCTGCCAGTGCTGAGATGCTTACACATTCACTGACTCGGCTTTCCCCCTGCAGTTGGCATCATTACGTCTGTTTTATGACATGGAGGAGGACTTTGTGGATTGGTGTTGGACATATGGGTTAATGCGTTAATGTTGGACTTGTGGCTTTGGGCAGCACTGGGTTGGGATGTTTTCTTGATGCGCAATTAACCTTTATATAAAACCCTCTCTTATACATTAGTTTCTGTGGATTTGTTTCTCAAAAGTACCCAGACTCACACACAAGTGTATTACTGAGAATACTTGTCTAAAACTACCCATTGGTAGCAGGGATGTGTTTAAACACAATGTGTTTGAAGTCAGCCTGCACATAAATTAACTGGAACCCTAATAACAATACTTTTTGATTTAGCCTCACATATTGAGCTGGGTGTTACTGCTATGGAACCAGTATATTTGAAGGATGATATCATCAGAATGGTGGGGTAGGATATTTCATAATCCCATACTACCACAAAGCAAAACAAGTGGAAACCAAGAGAATCAAACTTTGTTGGAATGTTATAAAACAACCAAAGGTTTATACATGGGTGCCCAAACTTATTTGGTCTACTACCAAAAAATTACTCCGTACCCCTCTGACAATTAGAAATGTTTGTACTATAGTCCGTAACCCAGGATACAATACAGGCATCTGCATTTGCAGCCCCACGGGATCTTTGCAGTATCCACTGTGGGGTGGTATCATCTACTTTGGAAAACACTGGTTTACAGCAGCCAAACAAATGCTGAATAAAGAAACTTGAACCATAGATAAGGTGGATGCTTTGCAACAAATTCTGGCATTTTAACTTGCCCTTGCCCTACCCTCTTGCAGGATCTGTGATGGCCTGGAAGACAACAACCCACATTCCCAGTGTGGGATCCTATTCCCTGATACCACAGGGATCTGAACAGACTTTATTTACAAATTATTCTGTATATCTGAACTAACCTGTTTTAGTTACCAGAAAGATTGAGGCGAGCTCCTTCTGCCTAACAGAGTTTATTCAGTATAGAAAAGCAATGTACTTTTGGAAACTTTGTAAGGCTAATGAGCAACCCATAGCTGCCTGGGATAAAATATGATTGAAGCATGCACTTTACTTCCTAATTCTTCCAAGAAAAATCTAGGGCGATTTTCTTTGTAATTGGGGCATTCAACAGCCTCCAGTATAAACCCCACTGCCATCAAGTCAGTTCGGATACATGGTAACTGATAAGCGTAGTCGAATTGCACCTTCATGTTTCTGAGATTGAACATCTCTTGAGCAGCAGATAGCTACCTCCTTAACCGGCCGAGCAGCGTATGAGTTTGAACCACCAATCTTGAAGTCAGCAGCCCAGCACTTAACCCACTGCACCACCAGGGATCTGTCAGCCATCTATAAGGGAGATTTAAAATGGAGAGAGATGA